CAGTATAACATTACACAGGCTGGTTGGAGAATTTTGGAAAATGCAGTCCTAAAGAGTAACGTTTGGATATACAGCTATTGATGGCTTCTCTTTCATTGATTCTATTTTTAAAGCAATGGATTTGCCATTTACTCCTTTCTTGAAATAAAGTATTCACTCACATCTCCACCCACACATGCATTGCCTGAAAGAACTTCAGTATTAAAATCCTTACTGTTTAATGACTCTTTATTTCTCAGACTCATCCCCCCACCTGTTATAAGAATGAAGAAGAATCGGAATTGTGTGGTATTCTGAGAGGTGAACTGGCACTTGAGTACTACACAATTTCTCTATCAGGGTAAGATTCCCCATTCAGCCACAGAAACCCACTGGGTGACCTTGTGTACATCACACTCTCCCAGCCCCAGAAAAGGTTTCCTCTGAATAAATCTTGCCAAGAAAATCCCATGTTGGTTTGCTTAGAGTCTCCATAAGCTGGAAATGACTTGAAGGCACAGAGCAATAAGGAGAAGCATGGTATCAATATCTGCTGTCTCGCCACAACACAAATCTAGGTGTTGATTTTCATCATAGGATTTTTTTCCTGCACCCTAACTTTCCATTAACAGCTGCAGGAGTTTGTGCTTTGTGAATCAATGTTTTTCAATTAAAGTACACAGGGCAAAAGAAAACAGAATGTTAAAAAGAACAATAAATGGCTCCAAAATAAATTGAGTCATTAGCATTGAAAAAGAGATTACTTAACCTACATGGGAATTATCTCCTTGCTAAAGAAACCCCATGGCTCTGGCTTCTTCAGCTATTTTTAAAAGAAGTTTTGGTTAACCCTTCCCTCAATTGTCTATATCTCCAATATAAAAACAATAGGGAAGGCACAGCTGTAAATCAGATAATTTGTAGACACATTATTTCTGAGCCAATCATAGAAGTCCTGAAAAGAAAAGAAAATAATTTGTCAGAAAGAAAAAAAATCAAAAATGCTACAAATGTGAACATAAACATGAGTGATTTTCAGAATCCAACTATGTAAATCGATAAGGTTTGATCAGGGCTCAAAATCCTGAGAGATCAGGGCTCAAAATCCTGGTTTGGTCATGGAAGTCAACTGGGTGATCAAAAAAAACTGGGTGATCATGGACAAACCACAGTCACTCAATATTAGAGGAAGGCAAAGGCAAAACCCTTCGGAACAAATCTCATCAAGACAGCCCATAATACATTAGTCATAAACCTTGAAGGCATATAGTAACAAAAGGTTGCTAGATTTGCAGTATCCTATTTTTGAAATCTCATGGAAAGACCTTGAAATCCGAGGTCAATTCACACTGAATAATTACAGCACAATGTTTCTGCTTTAAAGATCTTGGCTGAATCTTGGAGACACCAGAGGAGCTCTCTAATTGGAAATTCTAAATAATCCTCTTTAGACTGCAAATCCCAGGATTCAATAGGATGCAGGGACAGCAGTTAAAATGGGATCATAGCTCTGCAACTGTATAGCACAAAAGTATCCCAGCAGATGAATCCTTGTAATGTCACAGAAATGGGGAAGAAAAGGATTAAATGGGTGGGCCAGAATTGCTTCTGATTGCAGTAATGATCATGATGGCAGTCTAGGTAAATAGGCCCAGAACTTGTTTAAAACCCAGTTAACCAGTTATTGCAAGAAGATCAAGCCATGAAAGGAAAAGGAGAAAGTGTATCCATGGCAGCAGGTGTTGCACTCTAGCACTGAAACACCTTCTTACTCAGCACCACATCAGAGTCCAGTAATTCTATCTAAAAATGTTTATTAAAGAAAGCAGATAAAAAAGGGAGAAAGGGCAATTACAAAAAGATTGGTAGCATAGCAAATACAAAATAGCAGTAATACAAAAATGACAAGGATCATAAAGTCAAGGAAACCAAAAGCCACAGCAGTATTGCCAACATAAATCCATGAACATGAAACAGGAACTGTTCCAAGGTAAACTCTCCAAGGAAACACAGGCATGAGCAGAGAGAGGAAACTTGAGAATACTTAGATAAGAACTTGTGAGCAGAAACAGAAGAACTATCTTCTCTAGCAATGTTGTCTCCTGAGGGGCCTGGAACCAAACCACTTAATTTAAGCCCTCTAAGGGCCCTTCCACACAGCCCTATATCCCAGAATATCAAGGCAGAAAATCCCACAATATCTGCTTTGAACTAGGTTATCCGAGTCCACCCTGCCATATATTACGATTCAAAGCAGATGATGTGGGACTTTATTCAGCTGTGTAGAAGGGGCCAAAGTCACCCAGGAGATCATGCCTGACATGTCTGGACTTCAGATTTGCTGGGAATATCTAGTTTGCTTGGTTTTCACTCCCTGCATTCAAATATCTAATCTAGCATTCCTGGAAACGTCCCCATCTGCCCAGGGAACTGGAATTTTTTCTTTCCCCTGAATGAGCCTAGGAATCCAAAACATTGGTCTCATGTGCCTGCAATTCTCTTTGATCACCCACAGACTCTTCACTTTGAAACCCATCATCCCCCTCATCGTATGAACCTTTAGAAAAATCCTCTGATGCTTGCTGGGCTACAACATTAGAAGCAGTGAATCCATCCTTTAGCAAAACTTCTGTGTCTAGCCATGACACTCTGCTCCTCAATCAGAAAAGATAAAGAATTACCATCAATGAAATGTTGGCAATTGTGTCCCACATATCCATCCTAATAACCAAAGCCAAAACATTAGAATGTACTCAAATATAAATCATATTTCAAAATGAATGCTAAAAAATAAACTATAAAATATGAATCAATGTGCAGTACCTGAAGGGCAAACTTTCCAATACACTGCTTACTTGAGGAGCTAAATTGTGTTTCAAACCAAATTTGATTAGCTGGCCTGGGTGGGAAAGTACGTTGCTGGGGAGATTTGGCTCTTAATTTTTCAATAGTCAAAAACATGGTTAGAAAAACAGTGGGAAAGGGAGTTTCTTGCAGGGCTTTAGGCAGAGTGAATCATCTGCCTCAGAATATATTATGTTTTCAATCTAACATCCCTTCAGAATAATGTAAATGTCCACACAGAGAGAAGCATGACACAATCACTATGCAACTACCATGGAAAACAGTGACACTGAACAATGCCGGTCTATGAATAGGTACTTTTTTGGAGTGCATAATAAATTGCATTTAATGCACAATATGCAATTCACAATGTGCAAATGCAATGTGAAAGCATAGACAAGAGGAACATGTTGTCCATGTAATTCCACTTCCATTTATATCTATCACGCAATGGTGATTTTTTTTATCTCCCATGTGTGATTTAGACATGTGTATGTACCTAACTAGTTGTCAGGCAGTGTTATGTAAGGACACGTTTTTTTTCTTGCATAATTGGCAATTATCATGCTTTTACTGCTAAGGAGAAGGGAGAGGTCCTTGAGGAATTTTATGCCCCAATCATTCAAAATAATTTGCTTCATTTTACAACTTGGATTTAGAGGATGGGGAAGGAATTATCGTATTGGATCACACAACAACGTTTTTTTCAGGACAGACCTGAGAATAATAGGTGATCAGTTGGAACAGCCCAAAACCACAATACATTTCTTGGGGGCTCTACACCTGTTGTCATTCCTTGCTGTTTTTGAATCATAAAACTTACAAATTAGTTTACTTTTTATGTCTTCCTTGCTGTCTTCCAGTAGAAACTAAATGTGGAAGGCTTTCCATTCCACAAGACTCAGGCATGTAGCTGGGGGGGGGGGGGGTAAGGGGCTTCAGCCCCCCCCCCCGAAATTCTCATGGTGGTTCGCCGAAAAGGCCTTACTGGTGCATTATTTAAACTGTTATGTTTATTCATATCATGATCTGATCACCATACTCAATATATCCCATATGCATGGGGGTATTGGGGTAATGATACAAAAGGTTTGCTAGGGTAGACCCTCTTTCACTCAGACTCAGCCCCCTCCCCCCGAAACTCACCCCCCAACCCCCCCTGAAAAAACTCACCCCCCCCCAAAATCGAAATCCTGGCTACGAGCCTGACAAGACTAGTTAAAAACAGGTGCCTAGTGCTGCCACGTCAAGCCTCCCCCCTTGAGCTCTTCTTGAACTAATAAACACATTTCAGCCTCAAACAATAAAGAAGGAGCCGAGGCTCTTAGCAGACAAAAAGCTTGACACATATAAAAATACTCCTTTAGCTTAAATGAGAATGCTTTGATGTAGATATATGTGGGTGGGTTTCTTACTATGTTTTGTGGTCTTTTAAGTATATCAACTGAAAGTATATCTTACACATTTCAGCCCTATTGTTAGGGTGCACATATGCTCATTTGTATTTCATGATTCATACAAACGCCTATTTAGGAGTGGGAAAAGTGGGGAAGCTACAAATAAAAAATGCTATTTTTTTTACCTGAAAGAACACTTTTCTTGGAATCTCTAGGTCCTCCAGCACCTAACTGTATACATTCCTACCACAGATTTGTGCCAGAGACATATGTCAGACTGTCCATACTATTCTCTGTACCTTGTCCAGGTTTATATTTTAATTCAAAGGAAAGGGAAATGGATGAAAACAGACTGATAATATTCTGCATATGTACAGCTATTGCAAGGTCTTTAACTTTATATGCAATGGTAAGCTGAAAGCGTCTCAACAGATCAAGTTACCCAAGATCCAGTATTGTTCTGGTATACTTTTTCTCTAGTGGGGAGAAATGCTCGATTTAAGGTTTATTTTGCTTTGGGTTTAACACCTCGGCCCAAACTGTGTCACTTGGTAGATTCAGAATTCTAAATAGAAACAAAATTGGCCATGCAACGGTACGGTGGCAGAAGAGAAATACTAGCAGAACTAAAACCGCCGAGATGAAATGCTGTATTCTGTATATGAAAAATGTGTGGGGTCAAAAGCAGTGTTTCAAATCATTTTGAATGGGTATTCATGCGAGGAGAAAGTTTATACTGAAGACTGGAGCCTTGGAAAGCACTGCACGGTGGTGTTTAAGGAGAGTTAGTACCAGTGATAAATGACAGAACCGCAGAAGGTAACCTCAGCAAGAAAAAAAAGGTCAGACTACAGCATGTTTGCTTTCAATTTCTGTAAGAAAGTCTATATTTTTACATGAACTTTGTGCTGCGTCTTATGCTTTATGTAGTCACTATAAAATTTAGGGATTTTCATTTCTGATAACTGGGTTTTCTATTGGCAGTTACTCAAGACTGATTGTACCCTTTCTTCAAATAAATATGCAAATAGATGTCATATTCATCACACTAGAGAAAAAACCACTTAAATCCAATTTCTGCCTCCTGCAGAATTCTTGGGTTTGTAGTTTAGTGAGGCTGTTAAAAGTTCTTCCTTAAACTACAAACCCCAGAATTCTGCAGGAGGCAGAAACTGGATTTTAAGTGGATTTGATGAGGCTGATAGACTGTAACTGTAAAATGAAAATCTCAGATTGGTACAATTGTTGCTATATTTGTTGATTATAGCATAATTATTATAGACTTGTCAATGTATACTTCCATATATGAGCTCACCTGAAAAGCATTTCAGACAGCAATAGAGGTCTGACTGTAGTATTATCTATCATTTTGATGGCTTATTCAGACATACATGTTCTTATTTGATGTTGAATGGACCCCAATGATGAAAATGCATGTGTGAACCAATTTTCCTTCAAAGATAAGCAACTTTAAGTTTAATTATATAATGTACATGATGTTCAGCAAAACTAGCTCTACTGCTAGTTGGAATGAGGTGGACAAGTCGAGAGACAGATGCTGGGTGATGCCTTCAAGTGAGATGCAGCGCATTGTTCCATTAATAAAATTTAAGGAAAATTCATCTGCCAGTCCAGCTGTTTCTGTTGGTGGAAAGCAGGGGCCACAATGTCACTTTGTACCTTGCTTCAGGCTGCCATGTGTCTTGGTCTGACCTTGAGGCTTAGCAGTAAGTATGTTAATTCATTTGGAACTTTATTTATTTACTGCCATCTGTAAGCTACTTCTTCAAGGATGGGCTCATTAACTTTAATGGGATTCCTCTAGAACTGAGATCTTGTGTGAGTTTCCAATCTAAAAAGTTTTCAAGCAATTTTAAAGCAGATAAGACATAATGAACTAACCTTTTAAACTTTTTAAAAAGTTTCTTGTGAAAATGGGAAGCCTCTTACTTGAAACATGGCTTGTCACTCGAGCTCCCCTGTGTGTTTGTGATTCCTATGTTGATGAAACCCAAGTCCCAGACTCTGTTTGTCGTGATTTCTTTTGATCTGAGTTTTCACAGATATTGAAAAGAGAATGTTAAACTTCTGATTATTTGAATATTTAAAGAGCCTGAAAGAGGATCACATTGTACACAACCAGAAAACAATTTGCATGCATGCATATACTGCTTTGCTAAACTGTAATCCTAACAGACATTTGCTGTAGTGTTTTCATTATCTTTCAGATGAAAGTATTCATTTTCTTCATGATTTCAATAACAATGGCCACCATGGCTGTTTTCCTTGCTTTTGTTCCAGAGGGCAGAAACAAGTTATTCAGTAAGTTAAAAAAAGAAAATATTTCATATCTTTTGCAGTGGGGCAGGGATAGAATACTGTGTCATAGGAAGCAATCAATATATTTGAAAAAACCTCAATTTTTCCAAGAAATAAAACTTTTCTCTATTGAGATTTTTTTAAGGGATTTATTTCCTAGGTTTTGCAGCAGGAGGAGTGAAGTTCTTTTCCATACCTAGAACATTTTAAAGATATAAGTATCTTGCTTAATTTTCAAAGAAGTAACTATGGAAGGGAGGGAGAGACACTAACTGGTGTTTATTTTAACATGACCTTTTGAGGATATAAACCTACTTCTTTGGATGCAGTACAGAGTGATATTAAAGCCTCAGGCTATAAAGCATGTTTATACAGTTTGGGGAGTGGGGTAAAATGTAATGGTTGCAGTTTGTTGGATGTCATTCTTCGAGTTTAAGCAGGCCTAATGTTAGAGTAACATTCCTGTTTCTGTGCACTTGTGTTATCAAATAAGTGGAGCATTGCAGCTATTATATTAAAGACACAGGTCTAAATAACAATTGCTATTGCAAATTGCTAAATAGAAAACTGACATGGATGCAAGCCTCCTAAATTCTATGGGTTTTAACTGGCAACTGGATTTAGAGCATTGACTCCCCCTGGAGCCACTGTCTACATTAACAACAGCAATATGCTCTCTTCCAAAGACTTGCTTGTGATATTGCATTTCTGTGATGTCATGCCAGGCCTTGTGCCATGTTATCAGAAGTGTGGTTTCACCAGGAAGCTCTGCCAGAGAACTGCTGAGTGTAGACACAACCTTGGGCTTCAACTCCCAGAAGACCCAGTTAGCTTTGCCAAAAGTCAGGAATTATGGGAGTTGAAGACCAAAGTTGAAAAACACTGCTATAGAGTTACTGAAGAAGATGCTTTTTTGTTGTTGTTTACCTTTTTCTGATAATATCTGATGAAACTCATCATCCTACTTGAAAGTTCCTGGTTTCCTCTGCATAATATTGGCTCTTGTTTACAGAGAATTCTAGATAAGTTGAGTATCCCTTATCTGGTAATTCAAACTCTGAAATTATCCAGAAGGGTGGCTAGAGTAATGACATCTTTGCCTTCTGATGTTTATATCTATACCTATCTTATTATTTGCACAACATTATTAAAATATTGTATTAAATGCCTTCACACTATGCATATAAGGTGCAGTTGAAACATAAATGAATTTCTTGTTTAGTCTTGGATCCCACCTGCAAATTATCCTATTATGTATATACATGGAAATACAGATATTCCAAAATGGGGGGGGGGGGATCTAAAATAATTCTGGTTCTAAGCATATCAGATAATGGATACTTTGGTGAGTAACATGTGAAGAGAAAAACGTATCTTTTTCTGATACAATCACATGACACTAGCTTTTCATTCCTTATCACAGCATAATGCAGTTGCTATTACAAATGTGCCCTAATATTGTATTAATTCTACTTTTCTATGTGTAGGAGAAACAAAAGAAAATGAAGTTAAAAGGACTGCACAGGAAACAGAAGAAGAAACAAACAAAGGCAAAGAGAGGTAAAAAATAATAATAAGAGGTATATAAGTGGGGAAATAAGTGGCATATAAGGCCAATTGAACTAGAGTGTCAATGTTGGAAGGTAGGAAGCACAATAGAAAGTATTTGAGGATAGAGCTCTGTGTGTCTTTGTGTATAATAAGCTTGCCTTTTCTATCCAGTCATGAGTGACCCAGTCCATCGCCAGTTTTGAAGTGTTGTTTAACATTCATCCTAATAATGTTCTGTACATGGAATACATGTACAGAACATGGGAAGAATGCCATTTGTCCCTTATCTCAGGCAGCAAAATATCTCAGGCTAGTTTTAGATGAGTGCTACTTGCAGGCTACATGAACAGAGGTCTCCCATACCTAAAATTCATTAACTCAAATCTACAAAATGCAACAAAGAAGCAGGCCATTAATACCAAAAGGTGGAAATATTACCCAGGTTGTTCTCTGATTATAATCGGGTTTTGTTAAAATTAAAGGGGGCACAGTGGGAAAGGAAACTGTGGATAAGTGCGTCTGGTGGAGATGAGAGACAGGGCCTTCTCAGTGGTGGCCCCTCGGCTGTGGAACTCCCTCCCTAGGAATATTAGATCGGCCCCCTCCCTCCTGACCTTCAGAAAGAGAGTAAAACTTGGTTCTTTGAACAAGCGTTTGGAAATGCAGCAGAATAAATAATTATGAAACAGGAAGAATGAACACGAAATGACTAGACAATGCTGCTGGACAATGATTTTAACATGACGACATTGGTGGTTATATGTTTTTGATGATTTTAATGATTTATATGGTTTTTATAATATTAGATTGAATGTTTTTAATTGTACTTTATGAATGTACATTTAAATTCTGCCAATTTTTGTAAGCCGCCTTGAGTCTCTATAAGGGTGAGAAAGGCGGGCTACAAATGCCATCAATAAATAAATAAATAAATAAATAAATAAATAAATAAATATATTTTGAAAGACCATAAAATTAAAGAAAATATTAGGGAGGAAGAGTGAAAGGCTGTTAAAGACTTCCATGAGCAATAAGGCAGAGGTCAATTAAAAGACGAATTAAAGCAAATTGGGCAGTGGAACGCAATGGACGGTAGGTGAGTGAAAATAGGAACACAGAGATGTGCATTTACATTGACTCATTCATAGAAATGAATGGGTGTCTCTGTCAATGTTTTCTATTTGGAGACTCCTGTGTGCATTCACTGTTTTCCCCATGTATTTTCTTTACCAGGGAAAATCTATTAAGGGGGAAAATGTAGAATAGCATTTTAATACTGAATGGTAGGATCTGTATATCTGGAATCTGCTATGTTACCATCAGAGAGAACATCCCAGAAAATAGCTACTTCCTTTTCCACCAGTCTTATTTTGGATTAGATTGGAATTAACCATAGATGAATCAATTACTCAGATGTCTTCAGAACAATACAAGGAGTACTCAGATACCCCACAACTGTGCAAAGGGTTCAGTTTATATAATGGAATATCTATTCTCATTGGTTTTATCCTGCCCATAAAACACTGAATAGAAGACAGTTAAGAAACATGGTGCCTGCCCAAAATTGTTGGACTGTAGCATTCAGCATTTCTCACCACCGGTTATGCCAGATAAGCTCTTGTGAGCTCCACTTTAACAATATCTGGATGGTCTCATGATTCCTACCCCTGGAACAGAATATCATATGGACCAGAAACTGAATGACTACCATTCTGCTTTGTTCTCAAGTACAGCATTGTCCTCATATTTAAGGACGCTTCCCAGTACAACCTTCTTCCTGCAGACACGGAATTTTATACAAGTCAACACAGCTTTGACTTTCCATTTTTAATTCTTCCATGTTTTCTTATTGTTCCTTCCATTCTTTTCTCAGCAGGAAAAAAATACCAGAGGGAAAAGATAACATAGGTATACAATGCTTTTTTGATTGCTGGAGCTCGCAGTATGCCATCTGGGATCATCTCTGCTTCACTCCTTGCAAACAATTTTAATTACATCTGAGAGTGATTTTTTTCCACTTTGCAGTATACAGTTGGAAGTAATCTCAGGCTATCCAACAAAACATCAGTTTTATAACCAAGAATGTTCTTTGTAAGAGTTTCCAAAACATTTAAGTCCTAGAAAAGTCTGCTTTACCAAATTTTGAGAAACTGTGATCTGAAGCATCAAGGCTATTTTGGGATCAAGAATTTAATCAGTACCAAATGCTGCAGTGTGAATGGGAAGGAGGGAGAAAATATGTACTATTTCAGAAGATTTGATCTTGAAAAAGTAACCTCATTCCCAGCACTGTGAACACTCAAATGTTTAGCTCACAAATAATTGAAGAAAGTGGCAGTCCAATACAAATGAGCTGTAGTGCTGTCCTTGAGAACAAAAAAGCACTTCTCCGTTCAAGAGGCAGTTTCTCATCCAGTTTAAATTGGGAAACTCTTACTCATTCCATATACAGTTATGTTTCGGGGTCATATTTGCTGATTTTATGAACTAAGTTTTGAAAGTCTTTCCCTGAGTGAACAAAATTAGATTTCATTTGTGACCTATGTTTGAACTTGAATAGTGGTCATGTGAATAAACGTGCCTTTTTCCAGTCATTTAATTATTTTAGTCCCCCTTTCATACATCAAACCATAGTTCTTTGGTAGTACACTGCCTTTGCTACAATAATCATAGACACTGCCAATGTTGAAAGGTTAAATAATCATCTAGAAATAACATGCCAGCAGCAGACATAGTCCTATCTGAATGATACCTAAGCAGAATTTTCTCACTTGTAATTGAAGGAAGAATGTGACTTAGGGCCCTTCCACAAAATCCTATATTCCAGAATATCAAGGCAGAAAATCCCCCATTATATGTGTATAGACTTAGATAACCCAGTTCAAAACAGATATTATGGGATTTTCTGCTTTGATATTCTGGGATATAGGACTGTGTGGAAGGGCCCTCAGGTTTAAAATAAATGTATGTGTATCATTATTCTTTTTTTAGATATACATGGCCCCAAATTTGCAGTTGTATGGGCTGAATTTATCCATGTTGCTTCTTATCGTGTTAGTAGAGTCCTCAGTGGAATATTTTGAGGAATGGATGGGGTGCAGGAGGCAATCAGTGACTATATGATATTTAAAGAAATGGGAAATTGAAGAGAAGAAACCACTATTTGAGAATGTCAGTAAACATTGTCAGTTTCCACACAATCACTAAGACTGAAATAAATGAATGGGAAAAGTCCAATATACAAATTGCAATCCTGGAGCCACATACAGCTCTCTTAGGCTGTTCATGTGGCCTTAGCCACTCAACTGCCTCTTTTCTAGCCCCCAAAAGTAAACCACCTCAAAGTCCCCAAGAGTACTGATTCACCTTGTGAATAGATATCCTGTCTCTGCTTAACATTAAACATAAAATCCAAAGCCAGAAGTAAATGTCCATCTGCTTCCTATTTTTTGGGCCCAGGGACAGGGGCATATAGTTTTGGACATTTTAGTCAGGTTATGTTGCCCACCAGCACAGTGCACCCTAGATCCATGATAGTAAGAATCCGATCTACATTCCCCCATGAAGGAGGCTTGGTACTCCTCCAAGGTACTTAGCACCTCTCTGTGAAGCATACTTTAGTACCTCATGAAGTACTAATATATCTCCAAGGAGCATATTCAGATCCTTAACACTTTTCTAAAGAGCATACTTTAGTAACGCTCTGAAGTACTACTACATCTCAAAGAAGCATACTTTAGTACCTCTCTGAGAAACATACTTTAACTCAGGTGGGTGTATGTGCATATTTATGTTTAGGTATGCAAGGGACATCTTAACATTTTCTGTAGAGTTGTTCAGTGCCAGTCCATCAACACCTGTGCTTCTCTGATATGATTGTCATAACTCCACATATCCACCGCAAATATTCCATTCAAGGAAAAGAAAATTAGTATCAGCAGAAATGATGCCAAAGATCATGGAAAGAAGACATAGACTCCTGATAAGACGTACGTAAGCAATAGCTCGTTTTCCCAAATGCTATTTAGGTATGCAATGAAGTGGCAAGTACATCTCGTCCTTTCTTTTGGAAATAGAACAGCACTTGTTCAGGCAAACAAAGTAAGCCCTTTCTCCTTCTTCCCTTTCCCCATGCAAATCAGATGTCAGTGTAATGAAGACTTGTCCATTCCTTAATCAATAGTATTTCCATCTGTTTTTGCAGTCTTCTCCAAAGACAGGAAACAAAGGCTCCCAGCTACTTTCTGGCTTTTCCCAAATATCTAGAAGAAGAGACTCGGGCTATCTCTCAAGCAGCTGAAAAAATGGAAGCTTCAATACAAGACCTGAAAGAAAAACTTCACTCAAAGTATAAACGTTCACTGCCACCAAATGGTAAATAAATACACAAAAATATGCTAGAAATGGTCCCTTGTGAATTCTTGGAAATTAGTCTTCTAGATTGAAGGCAGACCCAGCTTTATTTTAGTGTTATTTTGCTTCAGGTGGGACTTAAATTCATATGCAGGCTTTAAACCCCCAGATCACATTTGAACTGTTAAAAAAGGCATTCAAGAAAAGAAATTCAGATTCTCCATAAAATAAGGACACTTGTATCCATGTGTCAGTCATGAAAATAGTCTCAACTTCTTCTTGAGACTATTTAAAACTGTATGGTTGGTTAGGTTTTTATACAGTTTATTAGAAACTAAAGTTTGCACAGATATATTTGATGCCTTAAGTACTTGGCTTTAGGAACACCTTCTATTTCTATCAATTTCCAGGAAAATTCATGCAAATAGGCAAATCAGAATTCTGAGCTGCTAAAGCTGTTTCTGTAACTGATGCTTTCATCTGCATTTTTGTCTGATAAAAGAAAATCAACTGTAATAGTCCAATAAAAGCCAGAAAACATCCTCAAATTAAAATGTATTGACTTCTTCCATGAAAATACCAGGACAATATGTAAACTATTCAGAATAAAAACACAGGATGTGATCTTATCCTCATAACTGAAAAAAAAATGAATGAATAAAAAAGTAAAGATATAAGATACCGTAACCAGACCCTGTATGTGTATACAAGCGGTCCCCAAGTTACAAACATCCAACTTACAATCGACTCCTAGTTACAAATTGGAAGAGACAACAGGAAGTGTCTACCCCTCGGAAGGGAAATTCATCCCTGAAAGAGTTTTCAGGGGAGAAGCGGTCTCAACTGAAGCTTTATCACCAATCTTTGTTTCCACAACAAGCCATTTCTTTTTTCAGAATCCAGTTATCACAGGGACAAAAAGTGAGACAAAATCTTCTGAACAGGGGCACAGACAGCAAAACAAACACCACAGGGGTTTTAGCCTTTCCTCTATGCTATCCAAAACAGACACACAAAATCTCTCTCTCTCTCTCTCTCTCTCTCTCTCTCTCTCTCTCTCTCTCATCTATCTCTCTTTATGTTACACTTTAAAAATGTACCTGTTCCAACTTGCATACAAATTCAGCTTAAAGACAAAACTACAGAACCTATCTTGTTTGCAACTTGGGGACTGTGTGTATACTGCAGCACAACAGCAATTTGGTAATGCACACATACTTGCATTAATATCCCCATGAAGAATGTGCTCAAAAACATAGCTTTTGATACTGTTTATCTACTGTTAAGAGTCAGCTGGAAAGGGATGGAAGGAACTAAAGGTCTTCTTAAGACCTAAGTTGGTCATTTCTTGGTTGCACTTGGGTACCAGGAACAGGAGGGGGCAAACGGAGAGTCGATGGTGATGATGATGATGGATTATTTGTCCTTAGTTACCACTTGTGTTGACACTTCATCATGTTAGGCTTGCAGAGAAAGGTTATTTATATCCTGCAGTGATGTAGCCAGGTGCAATCTGCTACCTTAAAGAAATGACAATCAAATCCACCTCAAGATGTGACCCAGTTAGTCAAATGTGGACATTAAAAACTTTGTTTTTGTTTCCAGGCCTATTGTCCACTGATGTTCTCATGATGCTTTCTAATGTGTCTGGATGCCTTCATTATATGCTACCACCAAAATGTGTAGAGAACTGCATGACTAGTAAATATAGACATATCACTGGAGCTTGCAATAACAGGTATACCGTATAGTTTAAGAATGTTTCTGCATCACCTTGAGTGACAAACATTTGGTTTTAGGGTTGCCTTCCTCACTTCTATTTTGATCTCTCTTCTTCTCCATTGTCTTGCTTTGCTTCTCATTGAAACTCTCAAGAATTACGTCATTTGAAATTGCTCAAAATTTAGTTTGCTCAAGGAAATTTCAAATTAGCAAGATATGCTTCACTGCACATCTATTAATGTGGTTCCTAATGCAAGCTCAATCTTCTCTTGGAGGCTCCATTTCATCCAAAGCCTTAATGAACTCTTGCCTCCAGGGTGGAAGCTGCAGTCAAATAATTATTGGCTCCTTTTCCTTGCCCATGGGGTTCATTTTGCAATATCTCGGTTCATTTTGCAACGCTTCCATTGGAGATAAAGGACATAACACATTATCTCTATGTCATGGGGATTATTAGGAATACCTATGGACACAGTAGATCCAGACATCCCCTTCCTCACTTATTGTTATCTTCCCAACCTGACCTAAGTATCTCTGAAGTTCTCCCTCGATCCTCACAAGAGAGACCATTAGAAATCGTCATGCTATTTTCAACGAGGAAACAAATTCATCTGCACAAGGCATGTAACTACTGTACTGGTGGCTCAGTGAATTAATGGGAAAGCCTTCTTTCCTTTCCTTTTCTTTTTTGTTAGAGAAATTCATGGAAAGACCCAGTAACATTCCAGTGATCTGTTAAAATATTAAAGCAATCAGGAAGAAAAGCACTGGTTAAGCTATTAAATTAACATATCATTACTTTTAATTGAGTGAAATAACACTATGTGCAGTACTTTATGCCATTTCAATAAAGACGATCAACTGTAACTAATTTGAATGCTTTATTAAGTGTACGTCAAACTTCAAGTGTGAATTACTGCCATTAATTAAACGTACAACTGTCTCACATGGCTTTGCAAATTGAGCCCTTTGGTATACTGAAAATCAATGAAGTATTAATAAATTAATTGTTCCCTATTTAGTGTCCCACAGCAATGTATGTGTAGGACCAACAGCCTGAATATCTACTTTCTCTTTCTCTGCCTTCCTGAACTGTTATATACCAAAAGTATTACGTATTCGACTGTGCTTTGCATACATCCCCCAGTATATGTTTTTCACTTAGCATATATCCTCCAGTAAACATCAGTTACCAATATTTGAATTTTCACAGTACTATTCAAGTCACACATTTCCATTAGTCTTCTTTAAAGCCTCAGAGAAGCTTGATTGGAATTATGAGGTCCCTCATTCAACACGCTTCATAGTACTTTGCTGTATGTTTAGTTGGTCCATTTGCTATCGTTTGAGGAGTCACATGAGGTTCTCAGCAGAGAAAAAGGGACCTATTTCCTCTACAGAATTATAGTATAACTATTCAGTTTTACCAGCCACGACTCTATCCTATGGAAGCCTAAGGATTCTCAGCTAGAGAGCTTTATGTTTCACCAAATTACCCATCCCAGGACCCCATAGGATGGAGCCATGGCAGCTAAAGTGGAGTAATAGTACTAAAATTCTGTAAGAGGAATGAGGCCCTGAGGCAATATCCAAGGGCTGAGTGATAAGTGAAGGAGAAGAACAGGAGATGAAATAACGCAATGGTTCTTGCCCTATGCCGTCTCCCTTCTCACTATTTAGTTGCCAGAGCTTGATAAACCTTGCCCTAATATATGAAGAGATTGTTATTTTGTTGCAACACTGAAACCATTCCGCTAAATATGTACAAGTGTGAAATTACCCTACACAAGAGATAGGTCATGTATGTTCCCTCAGGTGTATCTCACTAACTTCTAGCTACAGACAGATGAGTCCGAAATTCCCTTGAGGGCCAAACAAACAAATTCATTAAGCAAACATATGAACAAAAAACATTTTAAAACTGTTACATTTGGAAGGTATGCTACTCTTTTACTTATTTGTTGCTGTGAGGACCATTCAAGTCACTTCTGACTTAAGGGGACCATAGCCCCAGATGTTCTTGGCAAGATTTATGCAAAGGAGGTTTGCCATTGCCTTCGCCTAAAGGTAATAGCACTGGACTTGCCCAAAAGTTATCCAATAGGTTTCTATGATTGAGCAAAGATTCAAACCCTTGACTCCCAGAGTCTACCCAACACCCAAACCACTATACCATGTTGACAACTTTTTCTGCTCCAAATCATCTTTTACTTATATAGGGACCATCCCAGATGGGGAGCTTCTAACACAGCTCTGGCTAGATGGCTTCCTCCAGTTTATGAAGATGGACTAAGTCAACCAAAAGGATGGAATCCTGGTTTCTTACATAATGGATTCCCATTGCCTCCGGTCAGTAGACTGTGCAATTATTAAAATTATTTATTGATTTATTTAATAAGCTTTATGCCTTCTTTCAACAAAGATTTTCATGCAGGCAGAAATAATGAAGCACAATGAAAAGCAAAATTCAATAATAATAAAACTTTATATATGTTAGCCAAACTGGAATTAAACAGGAACCAGAAGAAGCATAAAAAGATGTAAAGCAGTTTCAAAAGTCATCGAGAACAGAGATGTCTTCATTTGGCATCCAAAACAGTTCTGCAAAAGCCCTGTACATGCATTAAACCTCAGCAGCGCAGAAGTACCTGTAAGGGGCAGAATCCCCTGCCCCAATGTCCTTGCATGTATGTCTCTGCCTCTCTTGTTCCTGCCATTGCTGCATTGAATGCAAAATCTAAAATTGGATGCCCACACTGCTTTATCAGGGTCCCTGATAACAAAGAGCATTTCTCCTCACCATTATTAAGAAAAATGGACTGTGTAGTAGGGCTGGGCGGTTTCGTTTCGTTAATTCGTAATTCGTTAATAATTCGTTAATTTTTTCAATTACAAAACGATAACGAACCATTCTGGAGCAATTTTTTAAAAAAACGAATTTTTAAATAGTTTTGTAAATGCTTCGTATTATTATTTCCACATGTCTGGGGCAAGTTTTATGGTTGTTTTTTGTTTAATTAGTGAAAAAAAATTATAATATCACACCAACAGTCAACAACAGAGGGAGAGGGAAGCTTCAGAAGTTTTTGGAGGTTTTTTAGCGTATTTCGCGGTCGCGTCCGCCATTAACGAATCGATTCGTTATTGTTTCGGAAATCGATTCGTTAATGTTTTGTAATTTTTTTCGCATTTACGAAATTTCGTAAATATCGAACTTTTTAAAAGGAAAATTTTGTAATTATTTTAAATAACGAAACGCAAAAAACCCCAAAAAACGAATCGATTTTAGAAACAAATTTTTCCGTTGTTACCCAGGCCTACTGTGTAGGGGAAAGTAGAAGGCTCACAAAAGATTATTTAAAAAAGAGATAGACCTTCAGCAGATAATATCTTTCTTTTCCTGAAGCCAAGACTTGAATGGTTGTGTAGGTCTTGGAAGGGAATAGACATTCATCCACATAGGATATATGAGGAGTGACTGCATTGACCTGCATCACTAAGGCTAGAGTGCACTTTGCATGTGGCTAGGAGCATCCATAGATATATTGTTCCTTTTCTAATGTAGTAGTTCGGTTCTGCTGGCACCCACAGATCCATGAATGCATCTGTTGCATAGTGTATAGTTTATATCTAATGTTAAAGCAAGTATCTAGAGGAAACATGCAAATTATGAATTCAGGTATAAGTAAGCAGAGGAAAAGTTTAATTCTCCTAGTTGAACTCACATCTCATAGATCTGCTACTTAAGCAGACACAAGGCTACTTCACTGAAAGTTAAAACATCAGTTTCTAGTTTAGCAAAGTTATGAAAAAAATAGCAAGAGAACTCTATTTGAACAGCCTTTGAGAAAATGGCATCTCAGCTTTAAATTTCCAAACAGAAATATCAGGCTGTCAAAAACTTAAAGGAAAAAAGCCAGGAGCAGCAAGCAAAACAAAACCTCCTTTAGAACAATGTTGTGACATTAAGTACTTTGGCAAAAGTGATGAGTTCTTTGCTCCTTTTGCTCCTTTTGCTCCTTTTCACTAGTTTGTCATCATATGAGTTGCAAAGAGTGTGCTCCATGGCAACAGATTGAACTCTTGTTTCTCCAGGTACGTGAAGTTACTAGAACAATTATTGAGGTCTCTAATGAGGCTGTCACTGAAGACGAACAATATTCTGATATGATCACTGTCTGGGGACAATACATAGATCATGATCTTGCCTTCACACCACAGAGTATAAACCGACTTCCAATCCTAGGAGAAGCGGACTGCAGTATGACATGTGAAAACAGAAACCCATGTTTTCCAATACAGGTATTTTTTCATTTTTGTTTTGTTTTTAAGGAATGTGAAAACAGGAGGATAAGGAGAAAAAAATGCCAGTCCTGGCATTTGTAGACTGTTTCTGCAATGCCAGAGGCAGACCTCCTTACACTTTGCTGATACTAATATTTAGCATTATAGCAGATCATATGTTAGGAATCTTGTTGAGGACTTGTGCTTTCAAAAATTCGCCTACATATACAGAAATAAAAATTCTTTGTGTATATTGGTATCCAGTAAAAGGTTGCTTTTACTTTACTCTGTAGCTGAATCAGTGAAATGCCCAATGCACACTTGTGCCTGGTGAACAATTGAAGACAGTGGGATCAATGCGGTCATCACATTAGTCCTGATGTGCATAGCATTGGACCTAATGCACATTTGTGTCCAGTTTTACCTCTTTGCTACTCATTAAGGTTTCTTACCATCTCAGCTACATAGCTAGATGTATATAAAGTTCCATAGCATAATAGGTCACATAGGTATCAGCAAAATTATTCAATTATTTATTGAAATAAACTTTATTATGATGATGTTGAATCATTATAATAATATATCTAATCAATGTATAATATTGGCTATATTACTAGATCTAAAATAAGGATATACACATCGATTTTTTCCAACTGTGGTAAATGACAGAAATAGCATCATTTGCAGGAGAAGGAGATTGTCCTTCTCCTACGTTGTCCGTGAATGGATTAATCTCTTGTTTCTGCCTCTCAAAGACCTTCCTGCCCTTTAAAGCCAGTAGCCAACAAAAGAGATGTCTCAAAGCTTCAAGATAGGTTGAGGGGGGATATTCACCACCTTGTTCCACCTGTCATCAGTTAATATACATAGTTGGCTTCAGGATCACATCTATACTAATCACTTAATGTGGAAGGGCCCCAGGTCAGTCATGTGGTGAACAAACACTTGGAGCAGATCCAGGCTAACACAGGGCAAGGTCGTCTTAATGCAGGACCTACGTTCACCAAAGACTGTGGATACTCTGAATTCTGGCACAGATTTTAAGTATCTCCTGACTTTGAGCCTGTCTGAACAGTTGAACTGGTTCCAAGATGGAAGTGGCTACAACTGTCTGCACTGCCATCCCATATTACCTGGGCTTAGGTGGCCCATAGACATAGGATGGAACATACTGTTCCCTCTCATTCTCCATATCACAATGGTTTCTGGTAAGGGTTGCTGCTGGGCCTGAGCAGTCAGGAACTCCCTCTTGCCTCCACAAGAGCCAATCATTTAATTGCCTCTTCTTCATCCCCAAGGCAGAATTCAGATTGTGGAAACTGTAATTGCATGAAAGATTTTGTAGTCTTGGTTTAATCAGCATAATCAATGCTGATTATGACTGATTTCCAAGTAGCACAAAGCTGGAAGATGGTGTTTGGTAAAGTTGCCATTTTCTTAAATGATGAGATGAGAGAAATTTTCATCCATCCCTGCCTCTTGCAGAATGCTTGACCAGCTGGAAAAAATAGCAGGGAAGGATTTACTCCATAGAGAGACAGTTATTGCAGAAGCCCCCTTGTAGATCTTAGCCCTTTTAGGCAAAATTCGCCTTCTTTCCCCTATGTCACTGCCTGGTCCAGTTGTTGGCACAGATTGTTTAGTTTTCTAGATAGGGGATCTGCCTGATTGGTTTGTGTGTGGGAGACATCTGTTACCCTGAAATTAAACCTCTCAAAAACAAGGCTCAATGTCTCTGTCATTGGTTCCATTTCCAAGCAACCTGTAAATATTCCAGATTTTGATGGTCTATGTGCATCTCTACTGGATGCGTGGCCCCTTTGAGAAGATGCCACTAATCCTTGATTGCAGCTTTAATGGCCATCAGCGCTTTCTCCCACATGGTTGAGTTCCTCTCTGATGCAGGTAGCTGTCAAGAATAAAAGGCACACAGTATGAAGTGTTTTCCAGAAGGCTGCAGAAGCATGGCTCCAAGAGATGCATCCATAGCATCCATCTGAACTACAAAGAGGGGAGAGGATCTGGAAGCTTCAAAATTGATTCTGAGATGAACCGATCCTTCAGTTGCTGGAAAGCCTGTTGTGCTTGAGGAGTACACTGGAAAGGAACTTTACCTCACACAAGTTATGTGAATAGGTCTGCCAGCTTGGCAAAATTGGGGATGAATCATTGCTAGCAAAGCCAAGGAATGCCAGATTTATTTCCGGTTCTTAGGGGTTTACCAGAAGACAGTGACTTCCCCTTTGGCAGGGTCCAGCCCTATCCCCTTTGCCAAAATGCAATACTCGAAGAAGCCCACGTCAGAGAGGCCAAAGGCAAACTTCTCCAGCTTGGCATACAAACTACGTTCTTGCAGCTTTTGAAGGACTGCCCGAACATGCATGTCATGCACCTGCTGATTTAGGGAATAAATCAAGAAGTTGTCAAGATAGATGATAACAAAACCCTGTCTAAGTTATCCCAAAATACATCATTCCAGGATTAGTTGAAAGACTGCAAAGGCCCTGCAATGTCCAAAAGGCATGGATATGTACTCATAATGTCCATAGTGGGTCTGAAAAAAAGTCTTCCGTTCATCTCCAACCCAAATCCATATCAAATTATAAGACCCATGCGAGTCCAATTTAGTGAAGACCTGATCATTGCATGACCACTCCAATAACTCTGCAAAACAAAACGGGCCTCATGCCAGAACCAGGAGATGCGGGGATCATATTGAGCTAACTGAGGCATTCCCAATATTAGCGGGAAGTGAGGCACCACTGCCAAGTAAAAGGAAAGCTGTTCTACATGGCCCTGGATTTCCATTGTTAGCAGGTAGGTCTGATGAGTCACAGGATCTGATTTCAAGAGTTGCCCATTAAAGGTCTTCACCAGATATGACTCAAGCAAGGCGTTTATCAGAATTTTGCCAGATATGGCAAAAGCAAAGTCCATGAAATTGTTGGATGCCCCACTGTCTATCATTGCCTCAATGTAGAAGCCTCTGCCAACATCCCATCTGGGATCAAAGAGGGACTAAGCAATTTCCAATCTTCCTCCAACCAGGCTTTTAAGCCCCTTCAAGCCTGCAACATCTGTTTCTCAAAGGGGCAGGGCACCTTCCCTTAGCTGGACAGATCTTTGTCTAGTGACCAACATTGCCGCAATGCAATCACAGTCCATTGACTAAACATTTTCAAATTGCATTGGCTCATTAGAAATTCCATGACCAGCAGAGTAGGAATCTAGAGCTCTGGGAGCCAAACTTGCAGACTGATTTATTTCCCTGGAAGCAACTCTTCAGTAAGTTTGCCCATGAGCTAGCTTGCATGTTTGCACATGCCCATCTAAGCACAGGCTAATCTCAATCAGCTGCTCCAAAGTTGTGGGCAGAACTGACTGAGTTTGCTCATCCAGAAGCTCCTCTGATAAACTGCCCTTGAAGTGGTCACTTATGGAAGTATCGTTCAATTCCAGATCCTGGGCCATCAATCTCAAAGATGTAGTATATTTTACCACAGACCCCTGCCTTGATTCAACTAGCTGATTTTCCTATCATTGGTTTCTGCCTTTGCTGAGTCATCCCATGTTTGCCTCATTTGTTGAACGGAAAACTGAAAATCATTTAACAAAGGGCTATCTTGGATCATGTAGAGAGTTGCTCATTAGGCACAGGTCCTGATAAGAGACTGATTATGAAAGCCACATTTGTTGTATCATTGGGAAAGTCATTGGGCCACAACAAGAAATATAGCTGACACTGAGCCAGGAATGCTTCAAAGATGAATTGTTCTCCTTTAAATTTCTCAAGATAAGATTAGAGCAAGTTCCAAGAATCAAGTTATTTCTGGGGCCGTCAAGGTAGTGCCGAGTTTTCTGAAGTAATGCTAAGAGTAACCTTGGAAAATAGGAGCATTTTTCTGTTGAAACGGAAAGATGAGCTGATATCTTGGACTGCATCAAGCATCTATATCAGGCCTTCACAACTCACTGCTCTCAAGATTTGTGAGCCTCCAACTCCCAGAAGCCCTAGCCAGCTTGTCTAATGGCCAGGAATTCTGGGAGCTGAAGTCCAAAACACCTGAAGGGCTGCAAGTTATGCAGACCTGATTTACATGGATTAAAAAGTGATTACCAACCTCACACAATGGCAACTATTGACCACATGCCAGTGCTGCAATGAATCAGATCAGAATTTTAATTCAAGCTTTAACAGAACTGTCAAAGGCTACTGCTACACTGTCATATACAATACGGATTATCTGCTTTCAATTGGATTTTTTGGCAGAGTAGACTCAAATAACCCAATTCAAAGAATATAATGTGGATTATCTGACTTGATAATTTGTATTATATGGCAGTGTAGAAGGGGGCTACATGCTACATGGTTTTGAGGGTAGAGTTTCTCAAACTCTGCTCTTCCAGGTGTTTTGGACTTCAGCTCCCAGAAATCCCAGCCATCTTACCAACTGTTCGGAATTTTTGGAGCTGAAGTCCAAGCATAGTTTGAAAACTCTGCCTTAGATGTCTCCTTTAAAGTCCAAACTAGAATCCAGAACAGATTTCCCACTCTATTTACATGGAAACCACAAGCTGCTGCTGCCTTTTCATGTGTTTTGGATCATAGCTTAGAAAAGGAGCCAGTTAACCACCTCCTTGTGGGAGAAGTCCACGCTGAACTTGAACCATATTTTCTGAAACAAACAAATGAGCTCTGAATAATAAATGCTGACAGAATTAAGAGCTGCTGACAGTAAACACATACATTTTACAAATCATACAAAAAGGAAGACAGGAAGAACTAGGTATGAGAAATGTGCTGGAGGCAAGGTCGTTTAGGATTCATTTGTTATAAGTTGTGTACCCTGAAGAAGAGCTGCAGCTCAGCGATAGAGCACTTGCTTTGCATATAGAAATCCAAGGCTCACTTCCTGGTAGTAGGCAATGTGAAACTCTTTAGTTAGTCAGAGCACACAATTCTGGCCTATCACAGTTACAGTGCTACTATTCCAGTGTAACTGCCATGGTTCCATCAT